AGGGGGGGTGGAATTCTGGAAGGTCCCCTCCAACCCAAACCATTCTGTGATTCTAAGAATTAACTCAAGCAAACGTCCTTACACCAGATTAATGTTATCTTGTGATCACAGACAATCTTGAACTTAGGAAGAACCCCCATACCTGCTTCTTTTTAAAGAGGAGCACCTTCAGCTTCATAGCTAAGGCCAGTATACAGCTACGGTCTTTAAAAAAAGAGAGTGGTTTTAAGTAACCTTCAGTTTATCACAAACTGGAGTGAAATATGGATACGAACTGGATGTCAATAGACAATTACACCCGACACCATCACTGCCAGTGCGAAAGCTGCTACACTGCTGGTGAAGTGAACGAACTCCCAAATGCAGCATCAGGGCGGACAGAGGCTGTGTCTGTAAACTGGTCTCCAGCACTAATAACAAGACTTTTCTTTCCTTCTCACTCCATTAATCTTTTAAATATTACAGTGACATTCAACCTTTTAGCATGCTGACAATGCTGAAGAATGTTAGTAATAAAATCCAGGTAATTCACTCTCTCAAAGCGAGGAGAATCTGCCAACTCACACCAAGTCAGCGCTTCGGAAGTGGAACATGAATTCCCACGCTACTTCTTTGAAATGAAGAAACGGCTGTACCAAACATCCTGACTTCTTCTGTGTGTGCTGACAGCAACGATTACTGCCAATGACTCTGAGCTGGCTACACAACACATCTGTTTTCGTGAATTTTTTTCATGTCCACTGGGAGATTTCATTTTTAGGAATCTATGCAGCTAACAAAGTGAGATCCACTATCTTAAAATGACAAACAGATCGATTAACCTGATAATTGTTCTGTTCACACTATTTGATGGCAAAGTATGCAAAAAATCCTCTCTTAAAGATTACATGCAGAGCAATCAAAAAAAAAAAAAACCATAGTGAAAGTCTGAAGTGAAATTTGTTGCAGCGATGCCTTATTTCTGTCGTTGCAATAACTCTCTATTTATACGCCATTAAAACACTCCTGGAATAAAAAAGCTTCACAGATGCTTCTGAGTACCTTTTCTCTAACAGACAAATTTATGCTAAATATTTCCCAGTAGTCTAAACAAGGTGACTACATCATTGTCACCTATTGCCAATGAGAGCTTTTTAATATTGCTCCTACACTACTTATTTTGAGTTGGAGCTCAAAGTCCTCTGTTTGGCATCTGGAGTTGGCCACCTTCTTAGGTTGAAATGAAGAATATCCATAAGATGGATGGTCAAGCGCACGCTGCTAACCCATGCCTAAACCTTAATTTAGCTAGCCCTTTGTTTTAATGCTCTACAGGCAGGAGATATTAATAATATTTTTGTGTAACTACCACAAACACACCTACTGGTTTAGATAATCATCTGTTCTACAGGTCAATTATCTACAGAGTTCTGGCATCTTTAAGTATTTTACTTAAATTCCTTAACGAGTGAGGGCAAGTGTGACAGCTCATGTTTACCAGGCATCTCAGAGTAGGAGCACACATAAATAATACGGAGAGCTTCTGCAGAGCTGTCGTCACAGCAACACGTTCAAAGCAAATGTTATGTATCTACATTTAGAAGCAATTAATTGTGCCCAGAAGAGCCAGCTCCTCTCCACTGAGAGCAAAGGGTGTCCCAATGACAAGATCAGGTGTAGATGTTGACAATGCTATTTGAAGCGAGATGAGATTAATTCTGCCCAGAAATCCCACATATCATCTGCCGAAGTCACCTAACCGTAGATATTACTTGGTATGGGTTTCATGTTCTACCTGCAGTTTTATACTCCCTGATCCCACCATATGTAAATCCACAATCTTTTTTCCGCTCCATAAAAAGGCGCATGCTACCAAGTCAATGAATACTTCAAGTAATTAATACTTGCACCTGAGAAAAATACTTTGGGGATACCTTACCTATTGCTCAAAAAACAATTTTGTTGTGACTGTTCTATCGCAATACCTAGTTTTGAAATCTGCAGCTTTGCACTGCTCCTTGCTACTTGATTGCTCGGTGTCCTTCACTAAATTCTCTGCATATTGTTCTTGCTGTTCTCCTCAGGTACTTTAGCCTCTTGGCCCTGCTTTGGCCCTTTGCAGTCTCCTAACCCTGAGCTATACCAAGAGACTGGGGTTGGCGTTAGCCAGTGTTGACAAGATTATATATTTTTTTGAATAAAGATTGATGCCTCCATGTATAATGGACTTTGCACACAGTTAAACCAAATACATGACGCCCATTTACCAGCTTTTTATCTTTTTGATGTAAAGACATTTGTAACAAAGAAAATGAGTGATAATAGGACTTTTGGTAACATCAGGGAAAAAATTAAATTCCTATGCTTCCAGGCTTCTCTACATTTCCAGTATTCCCCCTTCTATCCAGGAATGACATTGATACTTAAGGCAAGTCAGATTACACAACCATCTCATTTACTTACAGATTCTAACAGACAGATTTAATATAAAATACAAACAAATTAGAAGAATAACAAAACTAATACACATAAACTTTCACTTTATGGACTTCTTTGTCTTCGCATTCTCTTTGCTTATCGTAATAGTAGAATGTATTGTCCCTTCTCTGAAGTTTCTTAACAAATCCAGTTTCTGGCCAACACTCTACCTACAAACAGAACAAAAAGGATATACATTCATCTGAACATGCTCACATTGAATGACGTTTGTGCATTATATTGCAAAGAATATAGGGTATACTTCCATGGGAAAACCTCATTTGCATCTGAAACTAATTTGCTATTAATTTGCTTAGCTTTTAAAAAAAGACTAGGAACAAGATGTCAGAAACCAGTTTTCTGGCCTAGTATAAAGAATTATGTGATCCGAAGAGTCTAGAAATAATGATCTAAGAATATTTGATAGACTAATTTAAAACGTGGACTAGTCAAAGCTTTTAAAATACGTCATTTAGGAATAAAACATTGATGCTATTCAGTTATCCAGTAATCTGAAAGGCTGAAAGATTCCACTTCTGTGAGACTGACACACACTTAAAAGGTTTCTGCGGGATCCTTCTGACCATGAAAAATGTGCTTCTCATTAGCAAATTCATAAAAATAAAGTGAGCTGTATGTAACACAGTCTCAAAGGCAGCAGGATCAGTCCTGCAGGAAACCAGCACTGTCCCGGTGCTCCTCGGTGTTCCACAAGGCGAAGCTTTAAACTAAAGGCTTGAGCACTTGTAGGTTCAGCA